ACTTCACCGTACCTCCAGTACTTCACGACGCTTAATACTCGCTTTAATACTCTTATATAAAGAGGCACTAATATCCAGAAACCTGAGAATATAGAGCAGGGCTACGTCTTAGTAGATCCTGGAACGTTTAATTCTTCTACCAACTTGCTATTGCGCAGTTTATACTGACCGCTATGTGGCGCTGTAGGTTTGGTTGATAGTACCCTATACTCGTACTCGTGATGGAACGGAGAGTACAGAATGCTAGTATCCTCTGCAAAAACAATTGTGGATTTTATGGGAATCCCTCTTGGGCTAATTATTGTTCTAGGTGTTATAGAGAAGAGTATTTAAGACAAAGTGCAAGCAAAACCGTGGTTTCTGCTCTGTCCCAGGTGTCTTCCCCCGCATTTTCGAAGTTTGAAGCCAAAAGGAAGAAAGTAGCCGACAAGAGTTCGAGCACAGTTAAGAGCATTTTAAAAATTGCAAGAGGTTGGTCTTACATCGCTTTATTACAGTGTTTAGATTCACAAAATAGTACCTCTCATCTACCCGATGAGGCTGCTCAAGCCCAAAAGGAGTTTAATCGAGTCCTCCAGAAATGGAAACACTCCACAGCTTCTGATATATGGCGACAGGTTTCGCTTTTTTTCTGTCTTATAAGTTTTAGGTTACAAATTTGCTGACTGTCCTAGAGACTCTAAGACAAAGCGATATCACAGAATTTTCGATGGCCGTACAGAGGTTTTACGCTTCTATTTCAAACAGAATATATAATCATCAACTTTACAACGTACGTTTAAGCTGATTTTTTGCATGTTACTGTATACTTCGTCCATCTTGTTTTCACATATGTACCTATTACTAAATACTTTGTAGGATGCTTCAACTGAACAAAAGGAGGAATTGATTAATGCAATTGAACGTTTTCTCACAGTTTGGATACATCCATGGGCATTTGCTCCTCGTACAACTGATGATGAGGAGATTGATCTAAAGCTTCAGGACAAAATCAGATCTTTGCATTGGGTTAATCATGTCTCTTTAGAGGCGCCGATTGATCCCTCTTCGCCCGGCCAGTCTCTGCATCTTGAGTCCGCTATACTAGGTTAGTCTCGCTTCCCTTCTCTAATTCGTTTTCAAGTAAAAGCGTAGCACTGATCTGTGATTTAAGGACTCCGGTATATGAAACTTTTCTACATAGGTGCGAACAGCGGATAAACGCAAGTGTTACATAGGGGCATTTAGGGGCATGTTGATAAACAGACGGACAATTCGTAAGGGCGAAAAAGTGCACACTAACACCTTAACCACAAAAACATTGAGAACTGAAGGGTGGAAATGTGACTAAACGTTCACAGAGCAACAGTAGACGAGACATTGAAAATAGAAAAGACTGATAAATGGTGGAAAAACTCGTAAAATAGGAAAAGGACTATTGAGATAATTGAACTTTTGCGTATTTGACAGTGACGCAAAAATATCGATAAAGGCAAATTGAAGATATTTTGTACGCTACTGTTGCGATATTACATATATTTACGGACTGTGATAACTTGTATCGTTGTTACTTGCCTGACCACCACAAGCTATCACTGTACCCCTTAGAATGAAATTGGAGGCAGAGTCAGCTTCATCTGGTAACTTGTAACAAAACTTAGTCAAAAGATACGAAGAACCCATCTTTCACACCAGTGTAGTCTATCAGGTCTTAAACAGCGCGCGTACTTGCATTAGAAGCACAAGTCGCACCGTATTGTCTATCCTGTCGAATATTCTTGAAAGGACTGCGTATTTTTGTCTCTGCTTTAGCCAAAAATTTTGAGTTTATTGCGTTTTTCGATTAGTTTCGGAAATTCCCATGTCCATACAATGGAACGTTTTTGCAGTTCCAAGCTGTGCTCACAGTGACACTTTCGTGTTTCTCGTTCTTATGTAATGTCAGAAATATAGAGTATACGATTGGCCGGTTTTTATGGTTTGAGTGATAATTTTTACCCTGTCTCGTCTTGAATTGTGTTCGATTTTTGGGGTGAAACTTTAAGAAGCGAACATTTTATATTTAACAGCAAACATATGCCGTTTTTTAGCTCTGATCAATATCAATGCAGTCCCCTCAACAGAAGCAAAGCTTGACCAAGTAGTTCTTTGCTGCCGGGAAATTTTTGAGGCGCTGAATCTGAATGCCACGGAAGATGCCAACAAAAAGAGTGCCCCGAATTTGAAACCGGTATCAGAAGGGCCTGCCGCCAATACGGATGACTTTCTACCTGCACTTATTTGGGTCGTTCTCCGCGCCAATCCGCCCCTTCTTCACTCGAACTTGCAGTTCGTCATGCGGTTCGCAAATGAAACCCGCCTGAACACTGGGGAGGCAGCCTACTTCTTCACAAACTTGGTAAGCTTTATTTACTTTCGTGCCGCCTATAACTCATATGCCTAATTATTCCATGCGTTGTCCTGTACGACTGATTTTGGAGCTACAACAAGGTGGCTTACATCCATTACGTTCTTTTAATAATTTACCGGCCACCAAAAATTAATCTAGTCGTTTTGTACAAATCGAATCTTCAGTAGGAAATCGACTCGATTTTGGACATAAGAAATCAATGGCTTGACGTTTCGGATTCACGCTTTAGCCAATTATAATGTATGATAACAGATAAAAGTACTGAATACACAGAGAGTATATCATTCATGAAATGCTGTTGACAGACCACAATAGGACTATAAAAATTTGTAGCTTCTATCTTTGCACTGCAGTGATTAGGGTTGCACTTGCTTGGTTGACTGAGTCCGTGTCATAACTCGCCGAGCTTCAATCAGAACTTGATAACACGTCAATTAGTTCATCTTTCGACTCCTCAGCACTGTGCTCTTGAACGCGTCCATAAGTGCGTTTTCCAGGCTAATTTGAAGGAAGTAATGTCCTCGAGAGTTCGCGTCAGAAGTTTAATACAGACTGTTTTGAGTTTTTCGGCTTTTTAGTCAGCCTGTCGCCTAAAAGCATTTGTTCTGCTCTTTTCTGTGCTGTAAGTGCTTTTTATGCACAAATAGATATCTGAGTCTGTCAAAAGCGTAGGTTTCCCCCGTGGAACGGTAGTTTTGTGATTTACAAGTGCTACTGTCCGTTTATATTACCTACCTAACTGCTAGTGAAGCTTTAACTCTGTGTCGCAGCTCAAATTTATTCAGAGACTTATGAGAGACTTTAATTAGTCTCAGCTGCGGGGAATGCTTAGGAAGATATAATACCACAAATAGCTTACCTCGCGGCTGGCGGATGTGGCCGAAGTGATTTAAACAATGTGACGCACACTGCTCTCTGTGGCCTTGGATTTCACAGCTGTGGATTAAGGTACAATGAAGTTGGAATTAAATAACAAGAATTCCTGTCTCGGACGCATCGTTCTCAAAATATCGGCAATTTTACTCCACACATGTGTTAGTTCAACCACCGCAAGTGATGATGTCCACCATTTGCCCAAAAGCAGGGACGGTGGCTGTGGTCAGGTATAGTGAAAGTAGACGCGCCGCCATCTACCCCACTGTAAACCCTCTCCTCTGCATCAAACGGTGACAAGACCAAGTCGAGATGACCGAATAGGAATCAGGCGTAAGTTGCTTTCTCCAGATGCAGCCAGAAACACCGCCTAACTTGGTCCTTAGTGACAGTAGACTTTGCGCGGGCACTACTGCACTGTCTATCCGCACTCACCTATAGTAAGTGTCTAGCCAGACTCTAATAAGCCACGACTGGTACTGCTACTACCACTACTGTTATTTCTGATACTACTAACTAGGGCATAGCTGAGTGATAGTATTTGCTGGTACTATTACTGACTGTTTTGTAAGTCAGGAGTGACACTGATTTAAGTCGGCACTGGGCTCATATCCCCTCAATATCAACAAGAAGTGTAGTAGTACTGGTGCTAGCACTGGCACCACCGTTTGTCTGAGGTGACGCTGAGTAAGCCACCGCTAGGGCTCGTACCTCCTTGGTCTCAACAAAGAGTGTGAACCTGGGTTTAAACTATTTCGAGTAAGTACATACTTGGGGCCCTGAGCACAGCAGCGTTTGCCTTGATTTTCGCACTCTCATCTCTATCCATCAAGCTGTACGGACTAAGATACTGCTGATATACGTACTTGTCTATGCTAAAACTGCTACTTTCTAGTAATCATGCTTACTAAGGCCATTAGATAGTATACTATAAGTACTACCTGTGTGTGATTTTTAAGAAGTCGCACCCAGTATGTACTCACAATCTGTGTGAGGAAATAGTGATCAGAATTTTGTTAATAATAGAGCGTTTGTAAAGTAATGCACAAGTCCTACCATGCCCTTATGT